ATAATACTATGATAACATATACAAACGAATTACTAAAAGACACAAATATTATATTTAATTACATTCAAAGTGAATCATGGAGAGAAAAAATTGAAATATACCCAAATAAAACGCTATTTCCCTTTTTATTATACTTTGACGAATTTGAAACAAATAATCCACTTGGGTCCCACAGAGGAGTTCAAAAATTAGGAGCAGTTTATATATCTATGCCTTCATTTCCTCCAGAGCTTGCATCAAAACTTGAAAGTATATTTTTAGTACTTCTTTTTAATTCAATAGATAAAAAACAAGTTGGAAATACTGAAATATTTAAAAGCTTAATTTCTGAGATTAAAGACTTGGAAGAAAATGGCATAGAAGTGTTAATTAACAATGAGTCAATTAAGTTGTATTTCTGTTTAGCTTTAATTGTTGGTGATAACTTAGGATTACATGGTATGATGGGATTTTCTGAAAGTTTTGTTGCTAATTACCCCTGTAGGTTTTGCCGATGTTCAAAAACTGTTTGTCAAAAACAATTGTTTCAAATTGATAATGAATTGCGGAATACTGAAAATTATGAGATTGACGTTAATACAGAAAACATGGCTGAGACTGGTATTGTCGAACGAAGTATTTGGAATACCATACATTCTTTTCATGTAGTGAATAAGCGAAGCGGGGGGGTCCAGAACCGGCTATTTCATACTACTACCGGTCTTTTCATTTCTTTTGCCAAATGACACCAAGCATCATGTTTGGCATTTTTTGAAAAATATGATGGGTTTTTCGAGTCCCACAACACTTCTTGCATTCTAAATGCTTCAATTAAATTCAAGCAATCTTTGCTATCCCAATCCATTTTCAAATAGATAATAAAAAAGTGTAAGTTAAGTACTTATTTATTTATTATTTTATTATAACGCACGTTTGAATTAACTAATATACCGTCCAAACGGTGACACGAATGCTCGCGGTGTTCCTTTGAACATAACTGAAAAACCRACAGTGATCGGCTCGTCGTGCGAGTCTATTCGACCTATTCAGCGAACGTTTTCGAACGCTCGCGAACGTCGTCTACACGGTCGCATGGTGGGTCGCACACGAACGTTCGTGAGCATTCGTTATTTTTGTTCGCTCGTGTGTACGCGCCTTAAGAATCTATTTTCAGAAATATTTCCCGATAAGGCGATAATATTTCACTACGAATTCACAAAATATATATAATTATACAATTAAAATAAATGAAAAAATAATAATTTAGTTAAATATGTACGTAAATGTTAAATATGCATATAATTAACAAAAGCCAATTAAAAAGCTAATAAACTGACAAAAAAATACCAATAAAGCATTT